AATGTACTCTTACTTTACATATTATCCTTCACCGTTAACTAGAGATATTTTGTCATCTACTGTGCTACGTCCTAATTTTAGCATAGGACAAAGATCAAGAATAGTACAACCTAGTCTTTATCAAAGATCAAGAATTGTACAACCTAGTCTTTTTTGGATGTTGGAACAAAGCTTTAAAATTGGGGTTAGTTGAATCAATATTGCAATGAAGACTCTTAGTCATATAGAGGCTTGAAGCATAACTATCACAAGTTAAGGTTTCAACAGTTACTTCATAGAGTTAAACTCTATGAAGTTTAGAAAAGTGCTGCTTAATCAACTTAGCTCGTTGTTTTCTTGTGAGCCAATCAGTTAAAAAGTAAGCTTTTGGGATCTGAATGAGGCAACAAAAATGAACCTAAGTGCTACTTTTGCTAAAGACAAGTAACCTCAACCTCAGTCCATAATCTATGAACCTTTGACACTTTTTACCAACCCACTTAATTTGTTGTTTAACCTCAATTTTAGGCATCATTAAAGCGCAAACAAAGTTTTTATTTTTTGAAGCCATTTTAGAAACTTTGTGTTACTATGCTGTAAATAAATCTGCTGTAAAACTTGGCATGAAATCAACAGCTTGATACCATACGACAATTTTTGTTTGAGATCTTAATTTTTCATCTAAAATCAGTTTTAGAAAATTATTCTAGAAAATGTTTTGTGGATTAGAAAATTGGGTAATTATAGAGGAATATAATTACCTTTACGAGGTTGTAAAATAAAATAAGTTTAGTTTTTATTACATTCAATGTTTGTTCAATTGTTTGTTTGATCAATTGCTGTCTTACAAAAAAGCAGCCGTGGCGCAGTGGTGGCTCACTTTATAGACAAGAAATCTAAGGTTTAATGCGTGCTCTGAATATATTTTGTGTTATGAGTAAGGAAGGAGACGTGAAATTCCTAGTTAAACTCTCTTCCACAGTGCTCTGCGATAAGATCTTTGATCTGCGATAAGAGCGTTAGATCTTTTTAGGGCACTTAAAACAAAGTTAAAAAAGGAGAGAATGTTTTAAACCGCACTATTTTAAGTATTTTTTTATTAAACAAACTAAAGAGAACTTTTATTTCTTAACCGTAGCAAAAAAGATTGAAACGATCTGCAAATAATATAACATATAAACTTTTTGATGTTAAGTATAAACCAATAATATAACATATAAACTTTTTGATGTTAAGTATAAACCATTTACATACAATAAAAATAATAGTGATTCTAAGATTAATCCCTGGGGCACACCACACGTAATGAAGTTTACTGTTTTATCATTTATAAGTTATGGATGGTGTTTTTAATAATTAACCTTCAAACCAAAGTAAGATTTTTTTTTTCAAAGTAAGTTTTAAGTATATATCATAATTTTTTTTTTTTCTGATTATTTAAGTATATCTTTGGTCATTCAGAGGTTTAAACGAGATTTAGACTAATAATCATTTTATCAACAGAAAAAATCATTAACAAACGTAATTGCTGTTAGATTATAAGATTTTGAATAGGTCATTAATATAAATTAATATAGAAGATTATTCTAAAATAATCTTTAAGGTACTTCAATTGATCAAATTGTGTTATTCGTTAATTAGTTAAGTAATTCGAACTACTTAACTAGGTACAAAATAAATGCAAAACTTTTACTTTTATTATTAACAGAATTGAGTTTTGATTATCAACACAAGCCAATTTCATCCTTCTTGTGCGAAGTTCGATGCCTGATCTGGCCATGTGAGTAACATCGTGAGAAAAACAGCATTTTTTTCTTCGTAAAACGGACGTAAAATCAGCGGTTTTCTATGACAATAAAAACCATAGAAAATTCTGGTTTTTATGGTTGTTTATTAAAACAAATCAAAAATTAAAAAAATTGTTACATTAATAAAGTTCATGATAAATAAATGTTTCTTTTATTACAAACTATTCAATTTCAGTTGAAAAATGAAGATAAAGAAAAAGAATAAAATAAAACACAAATTAAAAGATAAATATTTATCTTATAAAAAGTTAATCAACAATAAATCGATAATCTTATAGATTACTTTAAAACAAACAAAAATCAAAGAAATTGAAGAAAAACACAATAATAAAATAAAAAACAAGATAGAAAAAAGTAAAAGAATAATAAAAGAAAAAAAAAAGAAGATGAAATAAGTAAACAAATAGTAAAAAAGAAAGGAAAAAAGACAAAGAAAGTTTATAAGAAAGAAAGTTATAAATAAAAAATAAGAAAATTAGTTGCTTTTATACTTATTTTTTAACGATTTGTAATAATTTATTACTATGTTTTCGTTATACTATATATTTATTCCGTTTTAATTCTATTATTGTTAATTTTCTCGTATTATCTATTTTTTGTTAAAGAAGTTAATATTTTTTTAGTTGTATTTTTTATTATTATTTATTTATGATACATATTTTATCTGCTTTTTTTTTATTTATTATTACCTATTTAAAAATTTTAACACTATTTTATTATTATTTTATTATTATTTTACACTATTTTATTATTATTTTACACTATTTTATTACTATTTATAAATTTTAACACTATTTTATATGATAACTATATATGTTATTTATTACTATATGCTTTTATTAGAATATATTCAATATATTTATTTATAATTGATTTATATCTTAATTTTATATAGTATTATTTTATTTTTTACATGAGTCCAATGACAAGTTCAACAGTAAAGCAGTGGCCAATAATCACAGAGGGTTTTTATGCGGTTGTTGTTGTTCTTGGGTACATGCTAAATGCAATCTTATCAATAAATTCTTGTAAAATTTCCTTTTCAAAGAATCTTCTGACTGGTGTTGTTGTAACTGCATAATTAAGAATATGCCATTTAGTACACTCTCTGACTTTTCTTTAACTTCATTATAATAGACTCGACCAACTAAAACCTTTGATTCTTTGAAAAATCCAATACAATTCAAAAATAATTTATTACTATATCTAAACCCTAACCACTAACCCCTATTTCAAAATTTATATTTTTTTGCCTATTTGTTGGAAAGATACTGTATGTGGAATGTTAGGCCAATTTTAGGTTATAATCATTATAATAGATATTGTTATTATTACTTTATTATTGTCACATGTGATGCAAATATAATTTACATTATAAATGTAAATATACTTTACATTTTTTTTTAATTTCTGTCATTATTACATAATAATTTTGTTTAATATTCATTTGTGATAATTATCAATATTATTACAGATATTAATACTACTTTGATCATTGTTATATCTGATAGTATTGCGATTAATTCTTAATAATAAATAAATAATCGGGGAAAAGGCATACTTAACTTTGAAGCTTCATTATTCAGTATCCTGAAGACCAAAAACAAAAGTTTTTACATGGATATATTCTTTTATATATGTAGAACAATATTAACCTTAGGAGTTTTCATCAATTTTATTTTTTTATGAGTTATTCTTATTTAAAAAAAGCACAAGTATGCCATCATAGGCAACTATTGCCCCTATGATGGCATAAGAGAGGATAGGGCTAGTTAGCATCAAGGGTAACATGGCAATTTCATTTGGCCTTAGATTCTTCCTTCAGAAATGCTAGAAATTACGCATCCTAATTAACCCTTTCGTGCTACACAGTAGCAGTGTAAAATTTTGCGCATGCGCATAAGAAATATTGCGTTTTATGAACCAAAAATTTTTTAGTGAAGTTAAAATTTCTTTTTGCTTCACTGACAAATATGTTGTTTTTATGAAAAAAAAAAAAGGTTTTCTCCACTCGTCAATATTGCAACACACCAAACTCGCCAATATGCCGTCATATTTTTTTTATTTATTTTTTTTTATTTGAGTTTTCATGCTATATTTTTCTATACAATGTTCTTATATCCAAAGATATTGTTGGCTTAGCATAAGAACAGCCACAAATAGTCATTAAGACTAATCCAAAGTAGCGTCCGTTATTGACCAACATTTTTGCGTACCGAAGTACTACTAAAGCGCTGAGTTAGCGGTGACGGGATTTGAACTCGTATCGTTCAACAGTCCGGGTTTTAACTTTTTCCATTAACGCTCCAACCATCTGAACTATCCCGCCACTCATAGTAAGAAGTCATCATTTTTATTTAAACAAGCTATGTCTGCCTTGTTCAAAAGATAAAATTAAAATAAGCATTCCACTAAATGTGCAAAACTTGGAAATAAAATGCATGAAAATTTCATTTCTACACAGCTAATAATAAAATCATAATCTTAAATATCTAAAGAGAATAAAAATACAACAGAACATCCCAAAATCGATTTTTGTCAATTATAAAAGCAATATTTGCGCATAAGGGACGTATTTTTACTAAAACTAATGTAAAGTCAGTATAGACATGTTGGTCTAATACTTTTTGGCCACAACCAATATTTATGAAAATACGACCGATATGCCATCTTAGGCGCCTTTCTCCTATATCTAATAGAATTGCGATTAATTTAATTTTCCTCGTTAATTACTTTAATAACTGGTGTTTACTTTAGATCAGTACTCGTACTATTTGTAAACAACTATGAAATGAAATAACTATTATTTGGATTATATATATTTGCTTTCGGATTAGATATAAGTTTGATGGCAGAATAATTTTTGGCTCTTTGTTTATTAGTTCAACTAATAAACAAAGAGCCAAAAATTATTAAACTAATTGAAAAACTCCTTTTTTCTTGTATTTCATCATTAGCTTAATTAGAAAAAAGCGGGAGGTATAAGAGGTTACTTTAAAACAGTAAAATTATTTTAGTAAAATTATTACAAACATTTTTAAAGTATTCAGAAATAATTTTTTTAATAAAATAAAATTTTTGCGTTTAAATTTTTGTAACTTATTTTAAAACTTAATTTTATGTTGAGTTTTGGGTGTCGATTTGAATTTATAATAAAAACCTTGCGTCGAGATATTAGCATCCGCAGTTTAAGTTTTTAACTAAAACTCAATGTTAGAAAATAAATGTTAAGTTTTTAATTATTATAATTCATTTTTTTATCATCTTTTTTTCTTTTTCAAAATGTATTGGAGGTGTTCTATACTTAAGCAACTCATTGCCTTCAAACCGCATTGCATTTAAATTTTCACGATCTTTTTGATCATATATAGTTGAAATATAAACGTCACGTTCTGCTTTTCTTTTTAAATTGACACTTCTGTCAAGTTTTTCTCCATAATATCCAAGTCCAATATGTTCACGTGCACTTTGTCCGCTGGGAGCAATCGGTTCGGTTATTCCTTGAAATGACGCACCAATTCCACTTCCTATTTTCCATCCGCGTTGTTTAAGATATTTAGTGCCGATGCCTTTTGAGTGTTTTTCAAACTCAGCAAAAGAGTTCATCTTTTTATGATTTAACTGTTCTTGTTTCTTTATTTCAGAATACTTTATAGGCCCTACGTCTTTTCCAGCTCTTCTACGACTCTCAATGCGCATCTGCAACTGGTCGAGTGCAGGCTTGTCACCAGCTCCTAAATAAAAAAATTTAAAAAATTAAAAAATTTTCTTTTTTGATCCACAAAATAAAAATATAACAAACTTTTTACCATCTTCGTAGTAAACACTGTAGTCAACATCCCAGTCATCCACAGTATCTTCATCAAAATCTTTTCCCTTCATTTCATTCCAAAAATAGCTATCAGTATAAAACACCAACCCACTTCCACCTTTTTCCCACTTCACTTCTAGATCCTCCTCGAACAATCTCAAATTTAAATAATAATACATAAAACTAAAAATAAATATTTATATTTCTGAAATATAGACATTCCTTATGTTAAAAATAATGAAAGCCGTGATTTTTATTATTCTAACAAAAAAATTGTTGTGGAAAACCTGTTATTTGCTTACATAAATTAAAAATCCTGTTTCTACCAATGTAAATATGTCATAACCAATATCAGTTTAATACAAACTTTCAAAAAAATTCATTTATAAATATAAAGGAAAAGACTGTGATTGCCCAAATTTTAAAATACTTTAAAATAATAACATATAAAATTTTTTTATTTAATATAATCAACTCTACATTTCAGATGTAACAATATGAAAACAATAGTAATAATAGTAGCAGTAGAAGTAGTGCAGTAGTAGTAGTCATAAACTGTAGGAGATTGGAGTATTATGCTACAGTTTTAAACTCCATCCCCCCACAAATACTGTATCAAATTGCCCCATACTTGCATAGAAAAAAATCGCTTTTTTTTTCTAGTATCATCTTGTTTTTTCAATGTTTTTATTTAATGAAGTAAAAAGCCTATGGATTGTAGTTTACAAAATAATATTACTTACTGATAGATTCATCGAATACTTTAAAACTTAAAAACTTTAAAAACTAATAAATTACTTTGTCATCAAAAAAACACAATTTTTAATCCCTCGCAGGCCTAATGATGTCAAATTTTATTTTTTTAAAAACATAGCTCTAGTAGTTATTGTTTTTCTAGAAGTATTTGTTTGCGCAACAACCTTGTTCGTCAAGATTTGTGTTTCGTAGTTATAGTGTTGAGAGAGGGTTGTTAGCACAACTATAGCAGCTTCCGCGACTGTAGTGGCAGGTAGTCCCCTCCCCACCCCCACCAACACTCGATGTCGTTTGAAATAAAAAAAAGTCATTTGTAAATAATCTTTTTCAAATATTTTTTTTTTCTTTTGTGAAAAACTTTGTCAAAGATTTTATTTTAAAGAAAATTGTACCAACTGGATTTTTATTTGTTATTGTTACAAAATGTTTTCAAAATCAAATATTTCTAGAAGATTTAACAAAAACCTGATTTTTTATTACAAAACCATGATGGTCAATTTTAATTTTGGGATTCAATTTTAAATTTGAGTTGTGACTATCTATAATTCCATTTGATTTATTAGCACACAAACCATTTTAAGAAAGTTAGGAAGATGACTGCTTGATTAAGCTCTTTATCATTGAGCATATCAAGAAACTTATAACTTAATCTATTTTCATTAACATATATTGATATGCATATGACGCTGAAACATTTTATATAAAGAAAGTATAAGTCTCAGTTGTTTCCAATTTTATTATTTTAGAATAACTTATTAAATTAATTATTGTGCTGTTGTTGTGTAGATATATATAAATACAACTGAGAATGATTTATTGTGTAAACAGAGTTCTAAATTTGCTTAAAGGCTTTGGTTTTTAACAAAAAACTAGTATTAAGGGAGGTGCATTAAATTCCAGAGAAAGTCTAGAATGTCAGCAATGTAGATTGCTAATTCAACACAAAGAAACTATAAATTTCTGTTGGAGTTATACAGATTACATATATATTTTGTTGGACAGGTTGCATCCATCAAGATTGTAAAAAGATGGGAGTCATGCAGTGATAGATAAAACACAGTTGAAATTAAGAATAAAATTAATAAAAGAAAAAAGAAAAAAACAGAGTTAATAATTTTAATCTAAATAGTTATTTAAGTCAATTTTTAAATAAAAAAAGTCTTTTAAAATGCTGGTAAAAACTATAAAAATTTTACAATTTGGAATCACAAAAAATATTTTAACCTATGAACACGTTAATAGTGAAGCTGTTTACTTTAAGTTAAACAATGATGCAAAATCTTTTATGAAAAAAATAAAAAACACCACACCTGTCTCCAACAGTTTTTATTTTTTTTTATTTTTGAACACTTTTAGTGTGATTTTTTACTTTTCAATTATTATCAAACTATATATCAAAATGTTATCTACTCTTTATTTTATTAACATTAATATTTTTCAAGTTGCTCATTAAATTATTGTCTAAAAAGTTTTGTAAAATGTTTTGTTGTTTGTTTTGATTTAAGTAGACCACAAGAGACTATTTTTTTATGACCACAATTATTGCTCTTAATATTGTTGTTATTATTCAAAATTCATGAAAGTTTTTTTATTTTTCAGAGATAAAAATAATTAGTTAAAATACCAATTTTTAATTGCAGCAATTGTCTTTTTTAAAAAAAAAAAATTTCTACAGTTAAAAATTATTTTTTAGAGCTATAATTAAATAATTAGAATTATTTAATTAAAAATCAAAATATGAAACCTTTTTTATCATTAAACCTCATTACCTCATACTTGTTCTCTTAAAATTGAGTAAAAATAAAATAAAAACAACAGATAGCATGCTGCATTAAATAAATGAAAGAAAAACCCAAGTAACAGATATTTATAACTTATTTTTGAACCAAAAATTGATTTAAGGATCCATTTTGAACTATCGGATACTATATTATTTGATAGAAAAATTCAGCTTAAGAGAGATTAATATTTCAAGTACTGGTTAGAGTATCATTTTCTCAAACTTTTTTAAATTGTAAAT